CTATGGATGCAATTGGTTGGGTAGGACTGACAGTATTTGCATTCCTATGTATGGGCCTTTTGAGTGGGCCCAATATATCAGGCCGTTTATTCCATGAGAAACGTATCTATTAAATAAATTACAGCGAGTTTGGTTTGAGGGAATAGGGGTCTGGAGTCCGAGTTGGAATGGGCAACCATTTGGTTGGGCAGAATAAGAATTTCATTCCCATTCCCTCGTCCCTCCACTTCCCTTGGAAATGGGATTTCATTCCAGTTGATTTCAATTTCAATTCTGATTCCTACATAAATCAAATTAGCTAAGTTTTTTTTTGTCTTTTTTTTTTTATTAAGAAAGCGGAATGTGGTCAGATCAATTTTTTGTTTTATTTTTCCAAAATTTTAGCAGAAATCCAATTTTTTTTGTCACCATTTAAAGCTATGGAACAAAGGTGGATCCAAGAAAATTCTTAGGCTATTTTTGGTTCGAAGGAAAATGTAGGGAAATGAAGGAAAAGATAGAAAAACCTTTACAAACCTTGTATTGATTTCCCTGTCTTTCCCTTCCTTTCTTTACCTTTTCCTTCAAACCAAACATAGCCTTATGGGCTAGGTTGTTATACATGAATTTAAATATTTGGTGGGACCAATCATATGTTCCATTAATCCCCCTATGGTGACATAGGATTAGTGTGAACCCCATGTGTTTTATCGCTGGCATGAGGCATTATTATTGGTCCCATAGCCTATTACACAGTTAAAAGTTAAAGTGTTCAACTAACATGTTTATAAGATATCATATCTTTCCAGTACCATAGAAATTGCTTAAATGTATATACAAACATGTTATTTCGATACATAGCAATAAATCTCAGCCTTTTATTGTGGACATTCCAATCATGTATTGCAAGTTTGTGGCTTATAATCATTAATTTGACTTTTAAACAATGTTTTTGGCTGGTTGAACCATTCGAACTGTCACCCGGTCAGGATTTTGGGTCCAATTCAGTCGAGACCTGTTAGATGGTAAAAATCGTTGACTTGGTCAACAACCAGCAACCGTTCGACCCGGCCAGTTTGACCATTGACCCTTTTGACTCGATGATCGGGTCGCAGGTTGCATACTCGATGCATACAAAATTTTGGAGACTATAACTTTGTAACGTTACACTTCGATATCCGATTGGAATGATTTTTTATTTTGGGTAACTTTTTGAGATCTATATATCCCAAGGTGATGTAGATGCCTTACTCCGCTATTTTTACAAAAAAATCCTTTTTATGGCCTCAAATTATAATTTTTAATATATATATATATATGCAGAAAAGGCTCAGCCTCTAGATTGATTTTTAAAACATTGGTTTTAAGTTGTAGCTTAGTTTGGTCATTTCTTTTGAATCAACACGAGCCTGACTTGAGTTGAATTTAGGCTCAATCCCAGCTCAAGCCCGATATTTGCGTTTGAGCAAAATATAATATATTTTAATAAAATACGCTAACAATGATTTGATAAAGTATTATCATGAATAAAAATAAAAAAAAATTACAAATAACATGGGAATTAGAGCTATGACTATAGTAACCATACAACATTTAAGCCAGTTTTATTATAGAAGCATTAGTTAAACATTTAAATATTATTATTGGATTGGGCAAAACAATCTTTTTTTTCTTAAGCTACTTGGCTAAAACTTCACTGACCCGGACAAAGATGCAAGGCTTTTGAACAGTCGTTTATCCAGACAGTTGGACCGTAGTCATAATGGTGTTACGCCCTTTATTGGCCAAAGCAAAACCAATTTATGATTCCCATGCTTGACCCCTCTTTTCAAGACAAGCTAGTTAATAAAGAAAATAAATCTGGTCGGTTAAAGAAATTAAAGTTCTCCACAACAATCCAAGAGGACGACAATCCAAGAGTTAATAGTTTTTTACTATTTTTCCATTTTTGTCCGAATTCCAAATTTTAGAGGTTGTTTTGTAACGTCGATGAAGACGTTAGTGTTTACAGCTATTCTGAACTATAAGCCAAGTGTAATGTGGATTGGTCTGTAAAACACCTATTGATTCTATACATTTCATGTACAACTTGTGAGATAATTTTACACAATTGATCATGTTGGATTGGATAAGAGTAGTCTAAATCCGATCTATCTAATCCAAAAATACAATGGATGGTTATCCAAATATAACAAAAATAGGATCGGATTTTGGATCCGATCTATTTGCACACATACGATCATGAATGAAAAAGAATCATAGTTTAAGTAAACAATAATTTGAAATAATAATATAAAATAATAACGAATAAAATAAAACACCAATACGTAATTATTAATAAATATAAAATAAATATATTTGTCATTATAATATTATATTCAGCAATAAATAATTTAAAATATAATTTTTATATAAATTATAATATATTAAAAGATTAAATAAAATAAGAGTAGCTGGACCAATGTAATAAGGTGCGTTACACCGAATCTTTCCCACAAACTGTCCACACCATAGTGTGGCCCATCCACGAGAAAATACCGCGGACGATAAATTGGGGCATGTTTTTTAAAACCGACCCAGTGACTGAATTGGTTAGGGGTCCGGTTACTGAGTCGAACGGTCAAATTGTTCAAACCAAATGCTCGGCCTGTTCTGACAAAAAAAAATTAAAAAAATAAAAACGGTCAAAATCGTTTGAACGGTTCAAATGATTCAAACGGTTAACCACCCGGTTCAGCGGTTCGCTGACCAAAATCAACGGTTTTGGGGAAAACAAAACTGGTCACCTGACTGGTTCCCGATTTTTCCGGTCTGACCATCTGGTCCGATTCGATTTTGAAAACCATGAATTGGGGTGTGGCTCGTTCCTGTCCACGCTATTTTATGAACGGGAGCCATCCACATCCAACAGAACACCACATTCTACTGTGGACACAGGACTAAAATGGTCCCATCCACAATATTTTCACAGTACCATCATATTAATTTGCATTAACTCTTATGGGTTGGCCCTCCTATGACCATCATATTTTTTCCCACCCCCCACCACACAATTCACCTTAGGTTTTCGTTCCCCTCATGAAAATTTCCTAGTTCTGCCTTTGAGGGGTGCCCATGGCTAATTGAACCAAATCATGGGCCTATTTTTCAAATTGTACATGTACCATCGGTTTTTTTAAAATCATGAATCAAAGTCAATTGGTTAATCAATTGATTGGTTCAATTTTTCAGTTTTTCTTTTTTATATTTATAATATCTATACTACCTATAAAAGAACGAATGTCCTTTTTTTTCTGAAATTTTCATTGGACATTTTCTAACCCTCTTATCTAAGCATATAATGGGCACAAAAAGGCATATATGTCCTTTACTCTCACTTTAAAAACTATCCACTTATAACTATTCAAAAATTGCCACGTGCAAATGCATATACATATTTACTAGTATATTATAAATATAAATATAAATATATTTATAATATATATATATATATATATTCATTTATAATATATAAATAATAGAAAATATATATAAATAAATGTGTTTATATACCTTTCATTTTTTTTTTAAATACCAAGTAGATCAGTTCGATTAACTGAAATTTCTAATTAGACTTCATTAGAAAGGTTCGATTTCGATTAACTGAAATTTTTTATTCGTTTGGATCGATTTTTCAGGTTTTGATGATTATTCTTAATTGACAGTACAACAGTGGTTCAGAGAGAGATTGACGTAAAACCTCCCCTGAAAAAAAGGAGGAGAAGGAGGTGTCCTCGGTAGATGATTCAAATGGTCGACACAAAAAACCAAATAGTTTTTATGGGACGACACTTTGAAGACAAGCACCCCATCAGGCAAGCAAGCAAGGCATAGAAAGAAACAACAACTGGGGTGACTTCATCTGACATTAACAACTCGGGGAGAAGAGGAGAAGCGGGCGGCAATTATGGGTCGCAACTCGTCAAAATCTTCAATGTTTAGGACCCACCCATCTCAATGCTTCTTGTCTTATTTACTCTCCTCTCAATAATTTGTTATTTGTTCCCACCCCACTAGTAAGTTGAAGAGACAAATGGAATCAGTGGAGATTTGCCTCGTTATCGCACAACACACGATGATGCCTAAAACGGTATCAGAATTAACTAACATCATCTTGGTCTTCTCTTTTATTTTTGTAATTCATAAAATATATAAATGGATATAGGAGAAAAAATGAACTTCTGCAATCTAACAAAGGTGAAAAAATAAAGGTTCTCAAAACAGATTGCAAAGAGCCGGTAATAGCACGGTTGGGGTAGATCTGCAGAAGATGATAGAGCCCAAACTTACAACCGATACCAGATATTGTAACTACTTTTCAAAATGGCATTCGCTGGAGAACTGCGAATGGAACTGACCATCATTGGATGGTCGAATACTTCGACCCAAAAACCTGTCAGACACCAGGTTCCATTTTACATTTTACCCCTGAACTATTTTTCTTTTTTTTTTTTGTCAAAAATTGTTGACTTAATCAGTGACTCACTAACCCAGGCGAGTGAATAATTGATCTATTCTACCAAATAACGATTTTTCGCCATATTTTTGTTTTCAAATTGTAACAAACTATTCATTCATACTGGATGGTTGAACCATTTACCCAAAAACCAGTGACTAAAACGATTCCGGTTTAAAATCGATTTTTAAAGATAACACGAATTATGATATGAACAAAAATAATCAAAGAGCAATAATGTCTTGATCATAATCAAATGGGGGACAAGTAAGGAGGTCCCACAGAATTAGAGTGATGGGCCCATGATTGACAAATTTGGATGAATGAGTTGGACTGTTTGGAAACTGGAGACCCGTGAATCCATCCGTGGTGGGTACTCGGTAGTTGGCAACTTGGCATTGACCGGTGAGAGATTCTGAGAACTGAGAATCCACACATTTAGAACAGCTAGAACCGTTTTAAACCGGCCGGCCAGGTGCGGCTGAACCGTTACGATGGAGCAAAGAGCAATGCTGTAGTTTTGGGATCATGGGATGCAGCCATCGTCATGAAACCCAAACGAGTAGACCACGTCGTCGCTGCTCCACCCGGCTCGAAGTAACGTAAGGGACAGAAACCGCACGTGCAACTCCACGCTCTCTCTGTCTTCCAGAACCACCACACGTCGCTGCTCCCGATCATCCTCTCCGTCCATCATCATCATCATCATGTCTCTCACTTCTTCTTCAGTCCACCCACCCTCCCTCAGTCTCGAACTCACCTCCTTGAAGCAATTGTACAGCACGCCGTTGCCGTTCCCCCACCCGCACGTGTAATCTCTCTTACTACACGTGCCGTTCTCCACCAAATCCGACCAGAACGCAATCCACCTCGCGGCCTTGGCTGCCCAAGCCGGGGCCTCCACCTTAGATGAATTCAGCGGCCGGAATTCAACTTGCTGAAAGAATCCGGCGACGTCGAAGCCAGAGTACCGGAAATGTCCATCTTGGATGAAGAAGACCGGATTTCCGGCGAGACTGGGCGTGGAGGGAATGTAATAGTTTCTGTAAATGGGAACAAGTACGGGAGCCTTTTCCATTAACTGCTTGGCCAGGGCCAAGGCTTCGTCGGGGTTATCGGGCTCGTCACCCCAAGATCGGCACCAGAACGTCCCTTTGGAGATCTCTTTGCAAATTCCTAAGTTGGGAAGATTGATGAGAATCTGGAGCTGCTGAAACGACGACGATCGCCAATTGGGGAACCCGGGACCTACCGGTAGTCCTTCACGAATAATGGAACGGAGATCGGGAGGGAAGGTGAAGCCGAAGGACGCCTCGACCGAGGAGAATTCGTAGTCCGTGAGGCCATCGGTTACAGGAATCCTGCATGCTTTTAGATGATCGATTACGTTCTTGGCGTAAGCAGAGAAGGAGAAACAAACTCGTCTCGGTTTTGGATTGACGGGAGTTAATGTTGTCGATGCCATCGGAGAAGAATCTGAGCAAATTAATATATACTACGGCGTGATCACGAGAATGAATTAAAAGTATAAAAGCTTGAAGAAAGACCCATGCGCGCTCGGTGCGGTTGAAGCTTGAAGGAAAGGAGTCCCGTCTCCGATGAAAATGTTTCGTTTCGTTTAGTTGGACTTCATCATTTCAATTCCGCGTCGTATAATTTACAGCCCAGGTTCATGGCAAATTTAGACTCTGAGTTGAATCGAGTTTTTTGACCGAGTTTTAACTATTGAATGCTTATACTAATTCCGACTTCCGAGATAACGACACGTATAATAAAAAAATACGAGTCTTCCTGTCTCCATGCTTGCGTTGACACTTGAAAAGGATTCGTTTTCGAAAAGTAGCGGGATTTGCTCACAACAAAAAACTGTTTCTGTGTTTCAACATAGTCCAACATAATCTGTATCCGCATATCGCACCGTGAGACTGGGATCGATCATGTTTGCGATGTGCGGACACAGATCATGTTAGCAGATTCGGCCTCAAAAATTAAAAAAAAGGAAAATTACTTTTATGTCCACATGGGATTGGGTCAAATATTATAATCTTGTTTTTGATAGATAAATATTAGGGTAAGATATAAAAACCTCCCCTAAGGTTTATGACAATCATAAAATCTTCTCTTTAAGTTTCATATTAACAAAAAGCTCTCCTATAGTTTTGAAAAATACTACAATTGCCCCCCTTCCATCATTGTTTTAGTTCATTATCAAGAAAAAAGTATTGTTGTCCTCATAATAGAGACTTTGAAGTTACAAAATTGCCCTTACTATTTATTAGGAAATCTTTTAAAGTTAGATTTGCCCTTTTAGACTTCACTCAATCATAATGAATTTACAAAATAAAATTACTTCACTCTTTATTTGACATAAGGAATTTTTTAGTTGAAAATCAAAAGTTTTTTTTGGGAATATTTTAGTAAATCTCCATCGGAATTGATAGACATAAAAGTAAAATGGGTATTTTCAAAAAGAAAATAATGCATTAAGTCAATGTTTTCTGGTTGAGACAATGATGGAAGGGATGTAACTACAGGATTTTTCAAAACTACAGGGAAGGTTTTTGTTAAAATGAAACTTGAGGAGAGGTTTTTATGACTATTAGAAACCTTAAGGGAGGTTTTTATATTTTACCCTAAATATTATAATCTGGAATAGTAAAAACAAAAAAAACAGATGGTGGCTTAAGTTGATAGGATCAGATCTCTGACTCGTGGCAGTGACCTAGGATCAAATCTTGCTGCCTCCGGGGTTGGGGGCTAAACTACTAATGGGATGTAGGCATGTAGCCCATGAAGCAAAAATAAATAATAAATAATCGGATATTAAGTTGTTTCATCACTTTTTTTTTTTGGAAATTATAAGAACCTCTCTTATGTTTTCTCACAATCCTAAAAACGTACTATGTATTTTGATTCTAACAAAAACCTCCCTTGTAACTTTGAGAAAAAGGGTGCAAAGACCTCCATCTATTGGCTTTTTAGTCATATAGACCAAAATGATCTTATTAGTCATATATACAATTTAAAACTTCACATTTTCCTTAGATGGAGTAAAGTAAAAAAAAAAAAGGCTATAAGGTGCCAATCAGCTGGTTGGTAAGGTCTCTTGGGATTGAATCTTGCCCTCTACTTGGCCCTTCAAAAGAAATAAAAAAAAGCTAGATAAAATAGAAAAAAATAAAACTATTCTTTTAAAGGTATTTTAATAAATATTCATGTGAATGAAGCTGGTCAAGGATAAATTTGGTATTTTAAAAAATTTAATGCATTACATCTAACGCTTTCCGTTTAGAAAGAAAACAAAAGGGAGGTATTTGCATTCTTTTTTTTTTTTTCAAAATTTTAGGAAAGGCTTTTATTAGGGTCAAAACTCAAAACACAAGGGAGGTTTATAATATTGTCAAACATCCCAAAAGAGGTTTTCGTAATTTTTTGTTTTTGTTTTTTTTTTTTTTTTTGTAAACAATGCATCTTCATCAATTTTAGTGATAAGTGTTCATATCACATTTGAAACTTTTTAAAAATTATTTTACCTTAGGCCATGTTTGGGAGTGCTTAAGTTAAAAATTAGTGCTTATTCGAATAAGCACTTATTTGCATTTGGCACCCAACTTTTTTTCAAGTGTTTTTTTTAATAAGCACTTGTTTTATATTGAGTGTTTGGTAGTCTTTTTCTCTAATAAGCACTTAAATAAGCGTTTGTGACTATTTTGTCCTTCAATTTCTTTCAAAATTTCAAAATATACCCTTTGAAAGAACTTTTATGAAAGTACTTTTACAAAAACACTTTTATAAAAGCACTTTTGTAAAAGTACTTTTAAGAAGTACCCTTATGAAAGCACTTTTATTAAGTACTTTTATAAAGTGCTTTCATAAAAGTACTTTCATAAAAGTGCTTTCACAAAAGTGCTTTTATAAAGATGCTTTCATAAAAGTACTTTCTTAAAAGTGCTTTCATAAAATTACTTTTGTAAAAGTGCTTTCGCAAAAATGCTTTCACAAAGGTACTTTTATAAATTTCAACTAGGGATAATTTTACAAGTGGTATTTAAAAATTCAACTAGGGATAGTTTTGAAAGAAAAAAATTCATGTGCTTATACAATAAGCACTTAAAAAAAGCTGGAATTTGGGCTTAAAAAATAAACTCTTATTTTTGAATCCCAAATACCGATAAGTGCTTAATGGCCCAAATAAGCACTTATTTTGAATTAGCACTTATTTTTAAGCACTCCCAAACATGCTTTAAGAATTATAAATGCCCTACTTTCTTTACCATAATTTCAATAGTCAAAATATTTTAATACTTATAATAAACTCAGTATTTTAAGGAAGGCTTTTATTAGGGTTAAAACACAAAGGGGATTTATAATATTGTCAAAAATCCCAGAAGAGGTTTTCGTAATTTTTCCTTTTTTTTGTAAACAAGGCATGCATCATCATCAGTTTTAGTGATAAGTGTTCATATCTCATTTGAAACCTTTTAAAAATATATTTTATCTTAGAAATATAAATGCCATACTATCTTTATCATAATTCCAATACTCAAAATATTTTAGGGAGAATGACGGTTCAGCCCAGGGTCAGAATTCATAGGCACAAAGTACAGTTGGGGTAGGTGCCAGCTCGGAATTGATGCCAATTCACGGGCGGGCATTGGTGCATAGAGTGGGGGTAATTGACCTTTTGAAATATTGTAGATCTGCAATGGAAATCAGAATTCTGCAATGGGCCTGTCCGTACTTCTCCGAATATTTTAATAGTTATAGTGTACCCAATACCTCAATAATAAAATGTATTTTAAAAGAAAATTTTTATAAAACAGTTGTAAGGCCAGTTATGCTATATAGAGTAGAGTATTAGGCAATCAGAAATAACATGCCTAGAAAATGAGTGTAACCAAAATGCGTATGCTGAGATGTAAATAGAAAACTAGAAAAGATCATATTAGAAATTAATAGGGGTCTTAGTTTCTATATGCTTGCGTTGACACTTGACACCCCCTATATTTTATGTATTTGCTTATGTTTGAACTGACCGATACAGACTGTGGGGAACTCTGGATGGGTGGAGGTCTGTTCCTGTCCCCCAGTGATGGCCATCTCGACGATCTTTCCGGTATTTTTAGTTGATGCCATTGATGGGATGTTGAAAGGTGTGATTAAGGTAGAGAACTCGACTTTCTTGTCATTCCCACAAACGTTGCTAATTGGTGGTGCACGATCTGGAACTCCTAGCTGGATGATACCTCAGACACCGGTTGCTTGGCTGGCGAGTTGATATGCAAGAAGAGAAAGCACAGAGAACCCGGGGTGGTTAACCCAGCGTGGTCACTCCGATGCTTAAGTCAGTGGCTAGTTTGTAAGTGAGCTAATACTTGAATGCAGGAGAGCTAGTAAGCACAAATCGCGCATACTTGGGTCTTAGGGGCTGATGCCCTTATATAGTTGGGTTGTTGTGGGTCTCACGAATCACCTCCGAGATCCTCAGCCTGAGCCGTTAGGAGTCCATTCCACCCGGGAAGTGGATAACGTGTTAGCCGATAAGGTCGATCGTGTCTGTCTGATCCGGGCGGGATGAGGATTAGTCCTTCGAGCGTGCGACATAACCTGAAGAGCTCAGAGACATCTGACAAGCTTCTAGAAGTCTGATACGTGTCACCTCGGTAAGTTAGGCAATCTCAAGCTATTCGAACCTCGATCATTGCTGAGGTGCTCGAGACACCCGAGGTGGCAAATGGTGCTGAGATGACAATATGTGATGGGTCATGATCTACCTGGTAGGTCGCATCCATGTGTCCTCCATCTACTAAGTCGGGCAAAATCATCCCTCATCACTTTCCTTTCCCTACTTTTTCCTTTAAACAAAACATAGCCAAAGGTTATCTTTGGTTTGAAGGAAAATGTAGGGAAAGGAAAAAAAAACCTATATAAACTTTGTATTGGTTTCCCCATCTTTCTCTACCTTTTCCTTCAAATCAAACATGGCCTAAAGTGAAAAAAAATTGAGATGGTAAGATTGTATTTAATTAATATAATGTTTACAATAAAACGTGCATAATTTATCAATTTCAAAATGTACATTTGCGAGTAAAACTAATCATTAATGTTTTATTAATAAAGGTATTTTGATAAAATATCTATCTAATGCCTTGATTCCCACACCTCTAATAATAGGGGTAGGGGTGGAAGTAGGGGTATTGGACTGTCAAGAATGTAGTTTAATTCTTCAAGTAGCCCATGTGGGAATCAATTCGGATTAGCTGCAGTTGGCCGTGGAACCAATCATAAGGTTCCATGTCAATAACAAATTCACGGGCCCCAACCTTATCATTAGTTTCACAGTCCGTTAAACAGCCATCGTGTTCAGCCATTCTTTGTTTGTGAGAAGAAATTATGGCACGCTTAAATGGTGTGGTTCGGATCATGCCTAAGCTAATATGCTTAAGGGTAGCAATTTTTAACTCA